CTGAGGCCCGTCTCACCGATCCTGGGGATGAGGTTGTTCTGCAGGTAGAGGATCCTCAGCTCCTTGCACCACCTGTCGAGGTGTTCGATCCTCTCGATGTCCTGCTGATGCAGAGAAACTTCCTCCAGGGAGAAGATCTCACACTCATTGTGCTCGGCGCGCCGGCGGATCAAATCCTCTGTGACTGAAACAGATTTCCCTTTGAACGTCATCTGAACCCGTTTCTAATAAAAACGTCTTCTCAGCAGGTCAGGAGGTGTTGGGGAGAATCAATGCTGCAGGCTGGTTTAACCTGCTTCGCTCAATCTCTAATCACAAATTATTCAATCAATACTAATTTATAGTAGATGCTAATTAGAAAAATAAAACTAAATAGTCATGTGTGTTGTTAAACTTGGTTTTAAGTCGGTTAAAAACAGGATCCTGATGACCTGAAATAGTCAGGGTTTTTTTTTTGTTAAGTCACGTGACTTAAAGTACTTTTTAAAACACGAAAACTCAGAGCAATCCTGTCCCACATAAATAAACTTCTTATTTTTAGCACCATAAAAATAACACTATATTTAATTTAGCAATGTAGTCAAAGTAAAGAGGAGTTTGGGTCTTTTCATATAAAATCTGGAAAGAAAAATCCACCTGACCCCCCTCAGAGTCAGCTGATTTTTGTATAATAAATTTATTCAAAGATTTAACTTCGAGTTATGGATATTTAACGATTGACAGGCCCTTAGAGTACATAAGAGTGGGCTGAAATTTGGGACTTTTTCATTTAAAAAAAAAATCTAATTTTTTATTAGATTCATCAGAAACTTTCAGGGTTAAAAAAACACATTTAAGCTGCAACCAAATCAACTTTAAACCCAGTATCACAATCTTGATACCTGCTCTAGTTCCCTGTAAACATACACCTGTGATGTTTGAGAAACCCAGAACATAATTTAAAAAACTCACTTTCATTCTGAAATATATTTCTAGTCTCCTTTAAGTGTCTTCAAACTATCACGGTATACAAATACTCGAACTGCTGACAGACATATGAATATATATTTTGAATCATTCCGAGAACTGAACTGTTTTTTACTAAGACAGACTAACACTGGAAATACTTCCTGATCAAGAGTGAACGTTTTTAACAACATGCTAACTTGAATTTCACCGCCATGACCGTCCTGTGAGTTCATACCGGGCACAAACCGGTTCAAAGCGGGTTTTAAAACAACAAAAGTTCACGGACAGGCCACAAAATCGGTTATACTGTCAGTTATGAACATTGAAACAACAAATGGTGTATTTTTGCCTCTATTTTTTTCACTTACTGTAAACCATCGTCCTAGCTGTGGCCAACCGTTGCCATGGAAACCAAACAGCAGCTGCTGCGTTCGAGTGCTGTGGTAAAATGCACCACTCCAAACGGACTAAATGTAGTTACATTGTTGACGGTGCTTTTTGAAATTGCCCCATGCTGACTTTAAGACTGTCACGACAGAGGCGCGGACATTCACGAATAAGAATGCTGAGATCTTTTCAGATGTGTGCTGCTGTTTAATTTTGAAATGTGGTTAATTTAATTATCTAAAGAGGCATTTTGCTAGGCTCTTCGACTGTAACAAAAAAAAAAACGTGTTGTTAATTACTTACCTGGGTAAAGTAAGGCTGTGATGATTTACAGCACTATGTTCAACCTCAGTTGATATCTAATCGTAGTACAAAGACATATTGGGGCATAATGTCAAAGAGCAATAGCTAATATGTATATTGTTAAAACTGGAACATTTAAAATATTTAAAGACACAAATATACATTAAGTATATTTGAATAAAAAGATTATCTAAAAATACGAAAAGGAATCCAACAATTGTATCAAAGGTAATATATTTAAGCGGAAATTGGTATTTATAATGTATACTTGAACCTAGCAAGGCTAGATCTTGATCTTTTATTTTGAAAGTTTTGGCGGAAGTTGCTAAAGAGACTACGGATCCGCTCCAAACAAAAACGGTCGGTGCTCCGCAGCATCCATCCTATTTTTCACCGGGTTTGAAAAAAACCCTTTCTCAGCGTGAAAACGGGCGGGCCGTCGCTCCTCTGCTGAGTCCACGGTGTTTGTTAATGTCGATTTAATTCGCGGTTCGGCGGCTGGTGTCGTTTCTCGGTGGCTGAACATGACGAGCTATACGGGGTTTCACTCTCAGCTGACGTCCATCATGGAGGCGCTGACCAAAGCAGCGGTGGCGGAGATCTGCGAGCTGGTGGACGACAGCTACGCGGTGCTGCGGCTGGAGA